CGTTGCCCTTATACTGCTTCAAGTAGGGATGCATGTGAACAGTGCGCAAAACACATGCCTCTTGCCCACGCTTCTATATTCATTGCTGGTCGCGGCGAAATAGCCAAGTGATGTGCGGCCATGTTTGCCCTAAAAAGTTTGTGAAACACTTTGGATAATGTCGTAATAGTTCGTTGTAAGTCACACAAAAGTTGCGACAAATTTTGTTTTGTTAATACGGATTTCTTCTCGGGTTTTGTCATACGCAATTTTTTATCGTAAGTTTGCTTTTTGAACTCGGCCTCTGATGTCTCGATCCTCCCAATAATTGAAACTTAGTGTGGCGGATCCAGACCTTTGTTTTGGGGTGGGCGGAAAATTTTTAAGGATACTATTCTCCCATTCTTTCTTGTGCAAGGGGGGTCCACTCATGTCCAATTGCCCTCCGAGAAGGGGGGAGGGAGGGGTGTCCCCCCCCCCCCCCCCCTGGATCCACCACGGTTGTGAAACCTGCAGTTGACACTCACCCATTCGGAGCATGGCTTTATGATCCGCATAGAACCCTATTACAGTTTCCTTCCTGTCCGTTGTGATTAAAAAGACTTGTTCAAGATAGTAAACAAACAAAAAAAGTAAATAAAAATATACAGGGACAACAATTGAACATAAAACACTGGCGCCAGTGTTTACCACCACTTATTGTCCATGTGTTTTTTGCAGCGCTTGTCTACGATCATGGATCAGTTGGCCCAAATTGCCATGTTAATTCTGCGAGATGCTTATAAGTCTCAACTTCTTTATGTTCAAATTTGGTAAACTTCATAAGCGATAACATCTGCTCGCTTATCTTTGGTAGACCTTTTCAAAAGCCGAAATAAAAGAGTGCAATGCGGCGGCAAAATCAGTGAGCGATTGATTCTCGCAGACTCGGGGGCAAAATATACTTTTGCATTATGAAGCCCCTGACAATGTTATTAGTGCCACTCATCAAACTATCAAGGTAGTTTGTAAATTACGTGCCTGGGTGAGCAAAAATGTAGGAATTTTGAATGTGACTTTCCGCATTTAGGGCTGGTTCACACATACAGTGCAGCGCTAACTCAGTCCTGTTAAGGCAACGAGTCACTGCTACTTCCATGGCTTGTATCGTGTGTTCTGAGGGTCCTCCTTTCATAAAGGACTGATGTCCCGGTTTGTAATACTGATTCAGCGCTGAGGTAGTGCTGCGCTGTGAACAGGATGCCTTGCGCGGACATTGAAGTTTAGATAAGCAGATCAACGTGTAACTGTGCATCTTTTTTCTTTATAGGTTACCAGTACAAGGTCTCCCATGGACATGAAGGCAGTACAAGGTCTCCCATGGACACGAAGGCAGTACAAGGTCCCCCATGGACACGAAGGCAGTGTACCGTATACTCGAATTTTGCATTTTTAATAAACCAGTTATTACTCCTTCACACGGTTTTATGCAGGCGTTTTCCGAACACTGATGCGTATAAAGGCATACATAAAAGTGACACTTGCACTCACTTTCCCCTTCCCTCAAAACAACGGTTAGATCCGGACCACATGTCATGCAACCTATTGCCATCTTCCCTCTTAGAGCCATATATCTAGAAACCCACGCTAGGAGTATAATTTCTAATACATTTCATTTGAAAGTCTAGATACACTGCTTTGAGTCTCTGTTGAAAATCAAATGTTATTTTCTACTGTGTTGCAATTCAGGTTTTGATGGGCCATCTCATTAAGTATATTCCGACTCGTCGGAATATACCTAATGAGATGGCACGTCAAAACCTCAAGTACAACGTGGTAGAAAAAAACATTTGATTTTCAACAGACTCAAAGCAGTGTATCTAGACTTTCAAATGAAATCTATTAGAAATTCTTATGAAGTGGCACGGCTGAACCTCAATTGAAACGCGGTGGCCAATAGTTTTCGTAAACTCCTTAGGGACTCGTTACAAAAAATCAATTGTTTTTCAACACAGACTCAAAATGGTGTCAATAGACCTTCAAATTATATTCATATGAAATACATTAGAAACTTTATGCGGTAGCTTCGTCGAAACATCAATTGGAACGCGGTGGCCAATAGTTTTCGTAAACTCCTTACGGATTCGTTACAAAACTCATTTGCATTTCTATTGAGACTCTAAAAGACACAATGAGTAGACTCCATAAACTTTCAAAAGAAATTCATTAAATTTTTTTGTAAGGGTGCAGGGCGCTGGCGACGTTACCCTCGGCCAAGATCGTGTGAACAAAAGAGTGAAAGTAATGCACGCTAAAGTCAAATTCGCCTTCGGAGTTAAGTCGTGTCAGTTCTGCGGTTAACGTGATAAAAAAAACGCAGCGGCATTCCGTAATGTCTAAACACGTTGGACATTGCATATGAGTGATGACGGAACAGTGTAGAGGCGTCGTGAGCCTCGTCGTCGCGCTCGTGCAAATGCATATCATAGCGCATCGTAAAGTTTCGAAAAGCACAGAGGCCTTCACAAAATTGAATGCAATCTTAATAGGGAACATTGTGTACTAGAGCCAGATGAACTTGCAATGCCTCTGCGCTGAAATATTGTTGCCTCTCCCGTACGTTACACAAATGACAGGTTACCATTTCCGAGAAATAAAAGAAAAGACAGCTAAATGTCCAACTTCGAGAAGACAATAATGGGTGACCGTCCGTCGCCCTTGCTTTTCTGTAGAACTAATCCCGTCATGTGACGCATACTTTCAAGCTCTTCGTCACTGAGCTCTGAAAAGCGTTTAGGCAAAAATACCTTGACAATGTCGTCTGGCAGCTGGAGGGATACGAAGACGGACGGCCCGCAACGTGTGTCCAAATGTCCGCTGTCTAACACAGGCAGCTTGACATCAGACGGAACCAGATCCATCTTAAAAAGTTTGACGGCGATTTTAGGGAGTTAAGCTTGTCCACGACGTTCTCCATCATTGGGTCAGCGGTGGCGGCAGTGGGCTCCTGTAATAAAAATGTATGTTAAAACAAAATAAAAGCGTTTCAAATATTTTTTCCCCTCACCTCACGTGTAGTGGCACGCTCTGAAGAAACGGTGGGCGTCCGTCAGTTTTATAGCAACCTGTTTACGAAACGATTGGCACCACGAGACATGTCTGGACGTGACAGCCTCCACATTCGCGAATTTGACACCGTGCGTCGTATTCGGTTTCTGTTGTTTCCGCTCTTCGCTTTAAAGCAATCTGTTTACGATCTGACGAACGGCTGCGCGTGCCAAGTGGGAATTCGACACCAGGGTCGGCTGCTTCTGAGTTTATGTTTATGACAAGCCAGCGCGAGGAAGCTGGCGGGTCGTCTCATCGTTTATTTTTGTAGGAAAGTGGTAAATGTATCCGGCGTATATAGAAAGGTGTAGATACACTGCCTTTCACATTTGCGAACCGGCCGTCATGACAGTCGTTCTCAATAAATTCCAATTTGAGACGCCCGCGTCTATAACAATGGTTGGTTCTTCGAAATCAGGCAAAAGCACGTATGTTCGTAAATTGTTGCATTATAGAAAGGAAATGTTTGATAAGAAGTTGGACGTCATTTTCTACGTGTACGTTTACGAGCAACCGTTTTTTAAAGATCACCCGGACGTTTTGTTCACTAAGGATATTCCACGAAATTTGGATCCCGAAACAAACTCGCTAATTATTTTCGACGACTTTCTCTCGAATAGGACAAAACTGAAGGAGATATGCAAGTATTTCATCGGCGCTGCTCACCACTATAACGCCTCCGTCATTTTCATTACTCAGAACATGTTTCACCAAGATTCATACTTTCTTACAATCAGCTTAAATTCTACGGCTCTAACGATATTCCGATCGGTGAGGATAGTCGATCAACTCCAGGTACTATCTCGACAGCTCTTTGGAGGGAAGAGAGGGCATGTCCTTCCGCGTATATATATTCGGACGCGTGTAAAACACCATTCAGTTACATCCTGATCTACATGACACAAACTTACCCCGATAATTTCTGCGTGAGAACAAGGATCTTGCCGGACGAGGGACCAGAAGTCGTCTACGGCACTTCCTCATGAATCGTTTGAAGGGACATGCACGGTTTTTGCACCTCTTGTCCAAAGCTAAATCGTCTAGACAAAGTCCTTCTTCGTGACGTCAAAAAGGGACATCTAAACATCATTCGCGAAATTTGCTTAAACCTTTGCACAGGAAACGTTCCACTCACACCAATTATAAAAAGGAAGGTAAAGAGGTTTTCACCCCTCATTAGATCATTGGGAAACCGAAAGAAAGGTCACGAGAATATAAAAAGTGTATTGATACAGAAAGGAGGCTTTTTACCTTTGATCCTTCCGGCTCTCTTGGGTCTGTTATCAACGCTCGGAGGAAGAGCTATCGCCAAGGCCATCAGAGTGTGGAAATGAAGAAATACCATCTCATCCCTTACAAAGAAGAGCATATTCCTGATATTTTAAGACAAGACGGGAAAGCGGATGACGTCAAACTGAAAAAAATCATTCAGATGCTTCATAAAAGTTTACGTCCGTACAATCCGAATATTAACAACGTCATGCATCAGGAAACGATTCCCTTTACGAGAGAACAAATGTCGTAGACGAATGATGTCACGGAAGATTGCGACATCGATGCAGTCGTCAATATTTTGAGCAAATCCTATAGGGAGAAAGGTCAATCACTTCTAAATTTGTTAAAACCGGTGATTGCATGGGACCCACGCATGTTAGAGATTATAATTGACGAGAAGCCTCTCCATGAGTCAAATATCATTGATATGGTTTCTTATCTAATTTCGCGAGCAAAACAGATGCCAGTTCCCATTCATTGCGAACGTGTGGCGACGCTATTGGTCAGACAAAATCTGCCGACGAGCATCGTAAACTACGATCGCTTTAAAGGAAGAGTGGTCAAAGCAGGATCGACCAGTCGACCAGGATCCTCCTCTCCGTACATTTCGCCGAAGCGTTCCTCGGAGCAGCAAGAATCCTCATCATCGCCGCACTCACCTTCGACCTTCGCTGTTGCTGCTGCAGATGCCTGTGCTGATCCTGCTCCATGGACATCTAAACGAGTGCTCGATAAGGCATGGAACATATTTTAGACGAAGATTACTTCAACGACGAGCTAATTTCTTCCTCATTTTTTCCGCGTCGAAGAAAGAAGGTTCAGTGGCTCTTAGAGAGCATTTCGTCGGTGATTGCCTACACCCCCGATGGAAAGTTGGTTGTTCACGGAAAAAGGATCGAGGAATCCAACATAACCGATCTACTACGCTACGAACTCTACAATAGACAACCTTCCTGGGTGAGAGGTGCAGTTTCCGCCGTAATTAATAACTTCCTGGACCAGTCAGCCTTTCGCGCTCAGTCTTACCGGCGGAAGTCGAGATGCCGTCGTCAGAGAAGGAAAGCAAAGCGGTGTACTACAGAGAAGCCCATCCCGCATCATTCGCTGGAGTCAATAGACTTGCCAGACATGCGGGACGAAGAACGGCGGAAAAGTTTTTAGAGGGATCCGTCGCTTACACCTTGTTTAGGGAAACCAAACGCCCTCGTCTATACCGCAAAACACCGTCCCTGGGACTTCGAGACGTCTATCAGGCGGACCTTGTGTAAATCCAAAAAATTGCCAAATATAATGATGGAAAAAGATACATTTTGTTTGTGATCGATACGTTTTCTCTATTTCTCTCCACCGTTCCGATCGCTCGAAAGACGGGAGAAGAGGTCGTCAGAGCGCTTAAATCGTCTTTCGTAGGATGTAGAAAAGTAGGCTTATATGCACGGACCAAGGCCGTGAGTTTTACGGGAAATTAGTCGTGTCATATCTGAATAAGAAGGGAGTTAAATTGTATTCTGTGTTTTCAAAGCAAAAGGCTTCCATAGTAGAAAGCGTACAAAAAACCATTATGAGTCGGATCTATAAATACTTTGAGTATGCAAGAACGAAGCGGTTAATAGAGATCCTTCCCAAAATCGTAAAATCCTACAACCACAGCTACCATCCAACGCTGGGTGCTCGACCCATCGACGTCACCGAGGAGAATCAGACAGATTTCTTCATCTTTTCCCTCCTCCGTCGGGAGCACCCAAGAAACCGAAATTTCGGATCGGGGACCATGTCCGCATATCCAAAGAACGACACCTTCTTTTAAAAAAGTACAAACAGTCCTTCACAGATGAGGTATTTATCGTCGACAGAATCCGACCAGGTATTCCCACAACATATTACCTCGTCGACATGGTGAGAAAAGAGCTCGTTCTCGGTTCCTTCTATGAAGCTGAGTTGCAACGTGTTTCCAACCCCGAGAACAAGGCCTGGATCATCGAGAAGATTTTGAGAAAACGACGTGCGCCTGATCTCCAATACGTTATGAAATGGAGAGGCTATGATTCCTCTCACAACAGTTGGGTAGGGCAGGTGATTTTGAAAAATAAACAAAAAAAAAATATGTATACGATGTTGTTCTTCACACTGCAATGAGTCTTTTCAATAGACTCTGCAGATTTGTTTGAGACACACACACGTAGAGTGTTTTATTACTCTTTATTCAAAAAAGTCCAAGAGACGCAATGTTGCCTCGTGATCTAAATTTATCCCATACATCGAGGGTTTACCATCGAACACTCGTCTAATTTGATACACATTGAATGGACATCGACGAAGATACATTGACTCACTTATATTGCAAGTGTCTTCGCACTGTAGGTCATGTTTCCGCAAGTCACGAACGTCGGCCTCGTGAAGACATTGTTTTAGGTTGCGAGTCTGCTTTTCGTCCAAGTTTACGCCAACTTTCTCGGGATAGTACATTTTCATCCAGGCAGGTATTGCCAAAACAAAGTCTGAACATCGATGAACTTTGATGTCTTCCGTCAAACTTGTCTTGAGTGTGCAGTGGCCGTAAGGGTTTGGTTGAGACGTGGCAAGTCCAAAGACAATAATGTAGATGATGGGCAGGGAAAGCACGATGGCAGCTATTTGATGCATGACGATCGGTCGTGTCACCTCCATAACTAATGTGCCGAGTCTTTATGGAGAAGATATATATATATAAAGAGAGAAATGCCTTAGGCTGATTGGTGTGGCAACACCGCACAAACGCCGCGATTAGCCGCACACGACTCGCGACATCTTGTGGGAATATCACCAACCAGACTGCACATGGCGCCATCCAGCGGCGTGTCCCCACACTTTCCCACGAGTCAACGAGGTAGGCGGGGAGTACGCTGATTGGTGTGCCGACGGCGACCTCAAGCGCCACCTTGTGGAAGCATCACCAACTATAAACTGAACTTGACAGAGCGTAACAGAGCGGCGAACCCTACCACTACCCACGATTGCACACAAAGTCTACGTACGGAATATTCACTTCACTTTGTGGCGCAGAGGTACCGCGTCGGGCTACTGAACTAAAGGTCGCTGATTCAATACCGGCCGAGCTGAAAGTATTTTAAAAGCCTTTTTCGGAGTAACTGAAATTCGCAGTTGTAACGTGACAACTGCGTGGCACTGATCGTCTATCGGCCGATGATCAACTATCGGCCGATGATCGATCATCGGTCGATAATAAATTTATTGATCGATTATAAATTATCGATTATTGAAAATCAAAAACTTTTTCAGATGTCAGAAACATCCGTTTCTGATATCTGAAACATCCGTTTCTGATATTTGAAACATCCGTTTCTAATATCTGAATAGGTTAGTATAGGATTGGCTAATTGGCCGGTCGCGACTCTTACGTCAGACCCAGCGGCGGGCGCGCAGTTAGCCATTTAGATAACCGAATAGATAGGATCGATGTGAGAAGACACCCGCATAACCCGCGCATATCGATTCCATAGATAGTATCGATATCTGAAACCGGACACCCCGATATCGGGAACATATCGATATCGGAAACTTTAGTATTGATTGATTATTGAGCTGATCGTATACACTTTTACTACTACTTAAAACGAACCAAATAGCCCATCAAACCTTCAGTCCGTTAGAAGTCTCAAAACACAGTAAACCGTAAAAAATCAAGCCCTAAAAGCATTAACAAACTGTTCTCTTATAGATCATCATCAGACGTTCCAGAATAGGACAGACTATTAAACCTTATCGCAATAGAAAGAAAAAACTAACGAACCGTCAGGCGCTCAAATCACCCAAAATACGACAGACCACCAAATCATCATGCCACCACACCAAAACATTGACGGTCCATCAAACAATCAGAGCACTAGGACGCCAGACGCCGTAAAATATTATAGGCCTTCAAGCTTAAATGGAACGAGCAATCAACATGCAAAATCATAAGGCTGCCAGACGTCGCGAAATAAAATACCATATAAAATGATCATGCCACCTGACCAAAACAAGAACGCACCATCAATTCATGGCGCCATCTGGCCGTCAGAAGTCTCAAAACGCGACAGATCGTCAAACCATCGCACCATCAAAAAAAAAAAAAAAAAAAAAAAAAAAAAACTAACGTACCATAATTCCTTTGAAGCATCAATCCTTCAGACGTACCAATATACGACAGTCCATCAAATCATCACGCTACGGAGACAAAACCCTACCAAATCATCAACCCATCAGCCTTTGTTTCATCAAATTAACCAGCCACTCATGTTCCGAAATACGACGCATCATCAACCCAAAAGAATCAATAAATGGTTCAATTGTCCTCTTTTGATACTGAGCCATCAGACATCTTTCTCGTGCGTCACAACACAGTCACTTCATTGAGAGCAGCAGTTGAACGTTTGTTACACAAGGGCAAAGATTTGTTTCCGACAGGGTGTCTAACCGGAACCGAACCTTTATTTTTAGCCGAACCGGAACTGAACCGAACCGAAATCTTCGCCGCCATCTTGGAACTGAAATGGAACCGAAGCAAAAAAAATATAACGGTAACCGGTTAAAAACGGTTCAAGGTATTTTTTTTTCTTTTTTGTTAGTATCACAAATTGAATATATGGGAATAAAAAACTGGGCAGATGTATTTCTATCTAATCGGCATATAAAGAAGTGCAAGGTACAGGGTCCGATCAAGGAAAGTAAGCCCTACTTTTCGGCCCGCATAAAAAAACTACGCATTGCAGAACGCTCAAACTCCGCCAGAATGTAACCCTAGCGGTCCAAGCAAAATGCCAAAGTTTCAGAACATGAGCTTACCTCAATCAAAAAATAAAAGAAAAAAAGGAGAAATCTCTACGGGGAGGCTCCGACCACGGAGAGGCGCAGACGGAGGCCATCTGCTTTGCGTTGCATTGCATAGGTGGCTCCACCACCTATGCGGGTTTGCGGGTTATCACGGGCATCTGCCGGGCTTGGCGGCAAATTCGGAATTGTTCTCTATCATTTCTGAAGTTTCACTTGCGCACTGCTTTTCACTGCAAAGCAAATAAAGATTACACGCCCTAATTTGTGATACTTCGGTGCAATTGCTCAGGCATAACATTTCTTCATGCTAATTACTTTAGCAGATGTCGTCTGCTTTGCTCTTCGCAAACCCGAACACCGGTGGTGGCGCCACCTATGCAATGCAACGCAAAGCAGACGGCCTCCGTCTGCGTCTCTCCGTGGTCGGAGCCTCCCCGTAGAGATCTCTCGTTTTTTTCTTTTATCTTTTTATCCAGGTAAGCTCATGTTTTGAAACTTTGGCATCTTTCTTCGACCGCTAGGGTAACATTCTGGTGGAGTTTGAGCGTTCTGCGATGCATAGTGTTTTTACGCGGGCCGAAAAGTAGGGTTTACTTTTGTCGATCGGACCCTGTATAATAAATTGTAGGATTTCGTGGCGAATTTGTATTGTCACTAATATTAAACGCGTCACGTTGTCACGTGACGTCATGGCGTCAATACATGCTATGAAATAACGTGACGTGACCCGTGACGTCACGTGACTCACTGCGTCAAATCGATTTATTTTGAGGAAGTCACTAGATGTATTAACCTTATTGACAGCGTGACGCAACATTACATCACGATTCTGCATTGAGAGTCACGTGACACCGTGTCGTAAGCGATTTTCATAACCCCGAGTCGAGGGCTCGGGTTCATGACA